TTGCCACAATTAATGGAACGACACACTTCTTCACCTCGACGTCTCTCCCCGTCTCTCCCCGCCACCTTTTTCCAAAGGAAAACGCGAGAGCCAGAGAGAGAGAGATTCTCGTGAATCAAAGTAGTCGGAGCGTGTCACACGGTCGCGGAGGTTTAACGCTGAATCCTTTACCGCTGAAAACTCTGATTGCGCCATTGAACACGCGACGTTATGACGGCGGTGGTTCGGCACGACGGGTTCTCCCCGTCGAACGTTTCGGTAGAATTCGAACACTCCAAGTTGCCGCAGTGTGTCCTCCACTTGGCACGACTCGCGTCGCCCCACGGTTTGCCTTATAAATGAGAAGGACCGGGAGTTGCTCCACTTATTTTCCTACGGATTAAAATAGTCCCGGAGGGTAGAGGAGGCGATAGAACGGACACGGTACAGTGGGAAAGGTGTCTGATCACGAAACGACCGTATCTACTTAACTTTCCTACGCGCGTATACTCGCACTTCCACCTTTCAATTAAACCTTTCTCCCTCTCTCCCTAGAAATACTATCGAGAAAAAAAGAGGAAAAATTCACCTCTCCGTTCGTTCGACGAACGGAAATACGAAACACGACGGCTCTCAAAAGGAGAGCGTACGTGTTACTAGCTATGTTCCGTTGCAAATTCACGGTTCGCTAATTTTTAGTCAGCCCGGGAAAAAGGCGGGAAAAAAATCGTTTCTTTGGAAAAGGTTCCATCAACCTGGTGAAATTTTCTTTCATATCGTGTATCAAGAACAGCCGTGGTACAAATTCGAACAGCGTTGAATTATGAATTTCGCGTGGTTGTTAATAACTCGTTTCCAAAGCCGATAACCGATAACCTGATCCGATTAAAACGCGTGTGCACGCCGAAGGATATCGCGTTCCCCTATTGTGTGTTTCGAATAATTAGCGCTGGCGTTTGTAATCAGCCCGCCTGGTACCCTCGTTTCTCTCTTTTTCTCTTCCTTCTCCTTCGTCGAATCCAGGTGGAAAAGTGACGTGACCGAAGAAACACGCGTGTGTGCGTCTCTCTCTCTCTCTCTCTGTGTGTCTAGATTGGAATAGAGTACGATGAAGCTAGAGAGTTGTTGTTCCTGAATCTCGTTACGTCCTTGAGCGAGCTAGCTGCGAACAAAACGACGGACCGAGATATAAAGTACATCGCGCGCGGAGTGCTTCGCGTGTCCTCCTCGAACCGTATAGTTTCTCTCTATTCGACTAACTCTCCGGCCGCGTCTCTTGCGTGTAATCAAATTTCCTGCCACGTTTTTCTACGCTTCTCCTCCTCGCCCTTTGTTCCGCCACGATTTCACCCGGCCAATTCGATCAACTTGCACCCCTCCGGAGGGAAAAAGAGAAAATGCACGTTTCACCCTTCGTCTCGTACCGAAACGACAGGCGTTTTCGTGCGTTTCGAGGGATTTTTTTTTCCTTTTTTTTTTGCAATGGACATCGATCCACGATGAATACACACACACACACACACACACGCACGTGTACGAGTCAGGGATGGAGTTTAGAATTTATAGGTTGCACGGCGATCGATTCACCGTGCAAAGTTCACTGCTACGTCTATTATTAGAGCCGCGGCCAGAACCTCAATCGTCGGTGCAGTTAAGTCAGCAACCCGTTGCGCATTGTCGCACACAGAAACGACCGCGTATCTTTCCCCGTCGGTGAATGTGTTTCATTACTTCGTGTACCGTGTGGTGGACGTGTATTGTGAAAGTTAACGATCGTGCGTCATACGCGAGGTTCAATCGGGCCGAGTTTATAATTCATACGTTGAAGAGGGAGAGAGAGAGGGAAGAAAAGAAGGTGGAGTATAAGGGGAAAAATGGTTTTTCTTTCTTCCATACATTTTCCGTGTGTATCGACTTAGGTGGTGCTTTAAACTCCGTCTAATCGGTAATTATAGTCGAAGGATGGAGGAATGAGATATGTTGAAGAGACAGAGAGAGAGAGAGAGAGAAGAAAAGAAGGTGGAATATAAGAGAAAAAGAGGTTTTTCTTTCTTGCATAGATTTTCCGTGTGTACCGACTTAGGAGCTGCTTCAAACTCCGTCTAATCTGTAGTCGAAGGATGGAGAAGTGAGTTACGTTGAAGAGGGAGAGAAGAAAGAAGGTGGAATTTAAGAGAAAAAAAAGGTTTTCTTTTCTTGCATAGATTTTCCGTGTGTACCGACTTAGGAGAGCTGCTTCAAACTCCGTCTCATCTGTAGTCGAAGGATGGAAGAGTGAGATACGTTGAGAGGGAAGAAATGATTTTTCTTTCATGCATAGATTTTCCGCGTGTACCGACTTAGGAGAGCTGGTTTAAACTCCGTCTAATCTGTACTAATAGTCGAAGCATGGAGGAGGGAGAGAGGAGGAACGAAACTAGGGCAAAGCCCGACATGGAAGGTCGTGCCGATGAAAGTTCTCCGTTTCCGAACTTAATACCTCTTGACCAGTTTTCACGGCTTATTATTGATGGTTCGTTTCTCCTGAGAAACGAGCGACTCGCTCGATCACGTACCCGGAACGGTCTTTACTTTCCACCGGAGATTTATCGCTGGAATCTGCGAGACGGTTCCTTTCTTCACCAGCTATACGTGCAGCTGGTCCGAAAAATCACTTCTTCGAGGATATGTTAATCTCCGAGTGTGATTATTCCGAAATATTCCAGCCAATTAGCATATCGCGTAGAAGTGACGTAGTTGGTGTATTGAGAAAAAAGTTTTTTTTTCTTCAAGAGTATCGTAATGTGGAACTTTAAGTGTCGGTGAGGTTGCAGAAATGATTGGATGAATAGTGGCATTGAGTTGAACGTCGTTGTTCTGAGACGATGGTTAAGTTGATCGTTTTTTTGCACTCTTGTTTAACCGAGAGTGTTTTTGGTATCTCGGTTGGGTTATTTGTGCGATATTTTGTTACATTGCTTGGCTCAGCTGCTCAGATTTCGCGTACTTTCCTTGTTTAACTTGGTATGGAAGGGAGAACGATGACTCATTCGGTGATAACGAGTAAAATAGTGTAACGAAAGGTGTAAAATTATTTAGTACGAGGTTTATCGGGGAATAGTGTGGTAAAAATTTATATAGCGTGCTAAGGTCACTCTATGTAGATAGTTACGTCATTTTGGATTGTGTGTAGTTGATAGTTGAAGAAAAATCGTGGAGATAAATGGACTTAGGCAGGATTAGAATATAGTCTTCTGTGATCAAGACTAGGTAGGTGTAATTTAAAACAAAGTGTGTTTTATTGAAAATGAACTATACAACTACGCTTAATGTTGTTGACACTAAGTTTGATAATTAATATCGCTCTTCACAAGGCTGCGTTATTGTCTCTGCCTCTCAAAATGATACTTTGACTCTCTAAATGATACTCTGACTCTCAAAATCCCACTTTGACTCTCAAAACGACACTGTGACTCTCTAAATGACACTCTGACTCTGAAAATCACACTCTGACTCTCAGAATCCCACTTTGACTCTCAAAAGGATACTTTGACTCTCGAAGTCACACTTTGACTCTCTAAATGATACTTTGACTCTCCAAATCACACTCTGACTCTCAAAACCACACTCTCAATCTTCAAGAAAAAATTCTTCCCTCACCTTCCATCTCCCACCATACCCGAACGCTACTCCTGTCTTTCCCCCATTGTTAAAATGGTCAACGCATCACCGGGCCTCGTCCTTTATCCAAAATCTTCTCGAAGGGCCTGCCAACTGTCGCTTTCACTTTTACGACCTTCGTCCTTTGCCTCTTCCAACTATCCATTCACGAAGAGGGGAAGAATTGTTACGACGCAACGTCTGTCGCGTATAATACTCCAAAGACGAGAGAAACACTCGCCGGTATTCATTGGTCGACGAAGAACAATCGGCAGATAGACAAACGTGGCGGATGTTTATGGACGATAGTCGATTCGCCGAATACCTCGTTGTTGCTCGATTAACTATTTTCCCCTCCTCTCAGTTTGGTGAACGATGTTTGCGCTGCAATCGCGCGGTATCACGTGCACGGAATCGCGGTTACAGTTTCTGTGGAACGAGGCGCGAGTTTCGGCTGGTTTAACAGTCAACTTGCCGGCGTTCACGGAAGCTGCGGTGGAATAGCTGAAGTTGCTTCGATTAATTCTCGTTCCTCTACGCGGTGGAAGTTGATGGAGGAACGCCCGTGGCATCGTTGTCTGCGTATTAAATGCTCATAAATTCGAACCACCTGCTAACTAAATCTTCCCCGGCCGTCTAATGGCCGCGTTAAGTTTCTCGTCGAAACCGCCTCTGTCGTCTGTGCTTTTCTCTCTCCTGCAAATTCGAATTTGCAACATTCTCTACGTTTTCTCCATCTAAAAAACAAGCTGTCGTTTGTCTAACACGAAGAAAGGTCCTCGAATCTTTCTACCTGCAACTCAGAAGTAAATTCGTTCTCAGTATCTTCGACTGGTTTACGATACCAGGTCGACGACCGGTTTGATCGATTTTTAATCGATTCTTCTTATTCCAATATAAAAGACTCCTCCCGGACAATAATTCTTCCTACATCCTGTTCCCTTTAATCAATTCCGGTTCCGCCTATCCGACCCGCCATCTTCCAGCTCTCCTCTTACAATCACGTAAACGAAAGCGTCCCCTCGGAACCGGATTTCACCTTTCCATCTTCCCGTTCCACGTTTCTTTCTCGTGGTTCGTGCATCGGAAGCAATTAGCGTTCCTCGACAAACTGTACGTTGCTCGTCGAACAAAAAGAACACCGTTTTCGTGGTGAAACGGCCGATAAGTCCCGAAACGTGTAACGCGCGTTGAATCATACGACGACGATTAGATTACACCTATCTCGCTCGCGTGAAAATTGGAACAGAGGCTAGAGAGATACGTGATTAATCTGCTCACGGCTATTGTGTACGACGTCTCGAGACGGAACCCGCTACTCCTCTCGATCTCACCTCTGTATACGAACCTTCCCTCTATTGACTGTCTGTCTTGTCTTTCAGGTAGCGAGGAACACTTCGGCCAGGGTTCTCGACCTCGGTGAATATCGGAACTGGAGAATCCACCTTGGCAGCTGCATCGTCGGTGGACACAAAGAGAGGAGGCCATAGAGGTTCTAGTTGGCCTTTGAAAAATTCGGTGAAAACCAGACCGTATATACCCAGATAGAAGAAGAAGATGATGACTCGTATGCTGCTTCAAGAGCCTGGATGGAAGATCGAGCGCAAAGGTTCTGCTCTACTGTTGAGGCGGGACAGTTCGCATTTGAAGAGCGGACGCGTCTGCTTCCGTTGCGACGTCGAAGTTCGTGAATTCGAGCGTGACGAGGATTACATGATCGAGGCGGAACCCCTGCCAGTCCTCTGGCGATGTGTGCCAGTTGCCTGGCAGCTCTCTGCGTCACCGTCATTCTACCATGGTTGTTAATTGGCGGTTAAATAAGCCTCGAGTTCAACTCACGATCTTTCGGGGGGTTTGCTGGCCCGTTCGAGTGTATCTCGGCAACGGAAGTCGCCGCGACGAATCGAATCGGGGACCGGAGTACTCCTCGACACGTGCAGGGAAACACGAGAGAGCACCTTGGATCTGTAGGAGAGAAGCCTGTCGAATAGATAGAAAGAGAGAGAGGGGTAGAGAGCGTGGTTGATGAAGGATTCACCGTGCTACTCTGGGATTCGACACGAGAAACGGGTGCAGTTCGCTAAACGGTACTTTCGACGAAACCTGCATTCCCGATTTAAACAGTCGCCGCTTAATCCCGTATGATTTCATCGAGGTACGGAGGGAAATTTCGAGAAATCGAGAAAAGTGTGTGTTTTTCACATCGGAAAAAGAGAGAGAGAGAGAGGGGGGGGGGAGAAAAAAGAAGAACGATTGGCCCTGGAGTCTTCGAAAAGAGTTACGACCCGAGAGTTTTTATATTTATTCGCCGATCCGTGTCGTTCTCCCTTTAAGGCTGCCACCCTTCGGTAACCACGTAGAAAATACACGTCGCGGGACAAATACGGAACGGCCGTGTGTAGACGACGGGCAGACCGCCGCGGTTCGAGTAGATTTTTCGTGAAACTCGACGAGGAGAAAAGTGCGCGACGCTGGACTTTCTGCATAGGCACGCGAAACGAAAGGAAGAAGAAGAAGGAAAACAACATCAAAGGGTGACGAGAGAGGGTATATTCGAGCGTGCATTAAAAACCTCCTTACTCGTTTGATGGTATCGACGAATCTCCTCTGGCCTCGAAAAACCGAGGCGACCCTGTGCCAAACGAGAGTAGCAGTACTCGAGATATTTCGTGAAAACCTTTCGTGACTCGCAGTTCGCTTACTTTGCACATACATACCTACAAACAAGCACACGTATATATATACACGCGCAGATTCTTTTGTGAATGTATAATAGCCGCATCGGTTCGAAAGCTCGCGCATACGTACATACATCTTTCTTTCCCTCTATTTTTCCACCCTTTTCCCGTGATATCGATGCTCGCCGAGTAATAACCGAATCGTTGCGTCTCATTCGAACGGAAAATTTGTAATCTACGATATACACGCCGCTTTGTTTTTCCCCTATCAACATTTTCCAACCGATAATCGTATACACGGTCGAGCGGCTTCCGGTTTAATATCCGCGTTTGCATCCGGATTCTTTCGATCAATTAGGTGTTTTCCGCGTGTGTATTTTGCACGCTGGCTGAGAAAGAGCCTGGGTATTACGGTGGGTGGGAAAAAGAGTCGAAAAGTTTCTCGACGCGCGAGCTCAGCAAATGGAAAAGTTTCCGCCGGTGTGGAAATCGACGGACCACCGCCGCCGCCGTGGCGGATTGAGAAATCGAGCCAAGTTTCGAGCATCACCGATAGCGTTACAGTCCGTTGCTCGCTGAACAACCTTCGTTGGGAGAGAGAAAAAAAAGAGCACATATTCGATCTGTATCGAATACATTTTTCTCCCCGTTCGACGCCATTTTTAACCCTTTCTCGAAAATCTTCCAACGAATCCCCGGACTCGTACGAACAAATTGCGATCTTCTCTCTTCTTTCCCTCGTGGTGCAATTTTTTTTTAAACCGACAATTTCTGGGGAACGTGTTTCGATGAACCGAGAAACGCGGCGAAACGCGGAGCTTCACGGCGACAAATTTACACGAACCACGAATCCGGTCGATCCTGCAAAGTGTCTTCGATAAATCATCCGTGTGTACATGAGCGGAATTTTTGCTAACGTGAAATTGAAAGAGAAGGATAAAACTTGAATGAGAGAGAGAGAGAGAGAGTGTGTGTAACCACGAATCCGGTCGATCCTGCAAAGTGTCTTCGATAAATCATCCGTGTGTACATGAGCGGAATTTTTGCTAACGTGAAATTGAAAGAGAAGGATAAAACTTGAATGAGAGAGAGAGAGAGAGTGTGTGTTAAGTATAAAACGATGATTGATTGTACGTGTGCAAAGGAGGATATACATATATTCAAGGAATAAGAAGATACGAACGAGCGAGATAACGTGTGTAAAGCTTCTATCGAACGATCCCGATCAATCTGTGTAAAATGCTATTTGTTTATGTTTTTTTAATAAAACCCCGAACCAGTTGTACAACCTCGTACCAGTATATATCATATTTTCCACCTCTGTCATCCTCGTGTATCCTCCACGAGGATACTCGTCATCGTTATCCATTTTGTCTCTAGTTTTCGCAATTTTTACATCGACTCTGAAGCATATTTTATTGTTCATACGCACATGTTCGCTCTCCTTTTTTCTCTGTTTTGTTTCTCGCCTGCCGACGAGTATAAACAATATTTTCAACGTGTTCTTTAATCCTTCTATCACCGCCGATCGATCACTCGATTGGATAAAAATTGGAGCGGCGCAGCCGGAGCCAATTTACTCGGCGAGATTTCCTTTTCGAGTGAAATAACGCGGATAATGGTTTCACTACGTTCCGATGATAACAGCCGCACACTTTTGTTCCTCGATTCCAACGCAAACAGACTTTGTTTGTCTGCACGAGGGAGGAAGGAAGGGAAAAAAAGAAGAGCCCGTGTGTCTCTTTTTCCAAACACTTTCCACCGTTATTTTCGCCGAGTTAATGAAAGTTCCTTCTTCGAACGAGAACTCGTTCGACGGAGAACAGAGAAGAGGATTGTCCGTGTGTGTATACACGTCTATTCGATTCAGGATAGAAGTTTTTCGACCGCGAAACGAACGCGTCACGCCGTAAATGTTCGAATTTCATTTCCCGGTTACCGATGGTCGCATAAATATGCATCATGCTACCCCACACTCTGCCTTCTTGATTTATTCGCGATTACGCTCGCCATCGCGACAGATTTCGCTGACCGTTTCGTAGTCAGCGATTTTCTGGAAACGAAGGCCAACGATGTTCGAAGATAACAACGATGGAAAACAAATCACGCTGATTAGAGAATTGAAAAAGAATTGGTGACATACAGAACATCGATAAGAAAAATTATTAGTTGCAGGTTTCAAGGATATTCCTCAAGTTTATCGACATTTGCTTTTTATAGAATTAGTCAAATGCAGGCTGCACCGTGTGATTTGGTGGTAGTCGATAGTGAATACGGCCTGACGAATACCACAGCGAGTATCGCTCGATAAACGACCGTAAATGTCCCACTATTTACTCGGTATACATTGAAAGTAGTACCAGACAAAGGCGGGCAAACAAACGCATCGATTTTCATTCTTTTATACGACACGCGGAAGTTGGACGAAGTAGAACTAACGTCGAATGCACTCGAATTCTCCTTCGATACACAAATGTCCTTGGAACGACCTTGAAACGACCTTGGAACACCCTTAAGGCGACCTTGGACGTTACCGACTGCAGCGTCGAGTTCTTTAAATTTTCATGCGAGGTTGATATTTTTTCGAAATATTTTCGAATTAACCAGCAAGTGGTAAATATACCGATAGAGTTATTCCCGAAGAACGAGCAGCAGCTCTAAAAGGCGTCCTCGTTTTTCGTTTTACGTAACGTCTCTCCCTTGTTAAAACGAGGAGTTATCGCGTTTCAGTCGCGGACAAGGTTATTAAATATATTTATTCGGCGTGAGTTATTTTCATATCGACGTGAATCATTGGCGATACACTGCAGAGGCACGACGGGGTAATCTGGACCGAGGTGAACGAGAAACTTGAACGCGGCGAAAGAATACGATAGCCGGGGCGATCAATGTCTACGCTTGTGCCTCTCTCGGTGATATTTAAGTAGTGTCCAGAGTTGCGGGGGTGGGGGACTTACCGACGATCTCGCGAACGTCTGACTTTCAGAGGTGATACCGGTGACAATTTATTTTGAAATTGGAAAATAACCGGTGTAACCGTACTTCTCTTCACCTTCGCGATATACCGAGGGAATTCATGAATTTCAAAGAAGTCTTTATTCCTTCTGAACGGCCTTTAAATTAGCATAGAACGTTTTTTCTCTCTCTGGTTCCAATAGTCATCAGTGTGAAATGGTCTTTATCCCCGTGGTATTAAATCGGTTGCACGGAAGGAAATTTCCTTTCCTTTCGTCGCTTTCACGTTACATTTCGTCCACCACGGAGCACGTACGAGGATAATGAAGGTTAATTAGACGGGTTGACGCATCGAGCGTTAAATTAATACTAGCACGCTATCTGCAGTCTCCGGGAGAATATGTTCAACCACGACAGCTGATTGTTACAAATTGGCTTCAATTTCCTTCAATTTGCGAGCATCTAAAAGAAGAACAAAAAAAATGTAATTCATATACCGTGGGCGGCATCTGTCGACTCGCTTCAACTCGCCAGCTCGCCCGCGGATAAAGTAGGCAGTGACGTAGCTCTATCCATGCCGTACCGTCTCGATTTTCTACACAAACTGTGCTACGTAAAATTGTCGCCAGATGGCGCGACCTCTCGTCTTCCAGCGTATTCGAATACGTTCCGCAGTTCACGGTCGCGTGTGTTATTGTTCGTTGTTGTGCCTGTGTTTTGTTGTTAAAATTTTGTTAATTATTCGTTAATGTTGTGATTCCACGATGTACATATATAGTGTTAAGGTACTAACTCTTTCCTCTCGTTCATCTACGCGATATACCCTTAATTGCATCATTAGACTATTTATCTCGTCGAACGTTAACCCCTTTGTTTTGGTAGCCATTGTAAAAAGGTGACTACGGTCAAGCTAACTCTGTCGAAACGTTTCTGTTTCAGTTGCCGGATCTGGACAATCTAGATGAAAAGGTGAGTGCTAACCAACGAATTCCCGTTCACTTATCTCGATTAATCACGGTACTGCTGCTTGGTAAGTGAATCCTACGAACAATATTTCCTCTTTTTTTTTTTTGCGACGCAGATGGATTTCTTCGTAATTGCATCGAACGAATTCGAGGAATTTCGTACTACGATACGATCGTATTCCCCTCTTACCTCCATCAGATGTATCGATTTCTTCTGTTGAAACGTTTTCTTTCGCGCGTTTATAAACAGACGATATCGCGATTGTCGAACGGGTGCAAAGTGTCAACTGTTATAGAGACGTGTAAATATATGCGATTTCACGATGGCTTAGGAATTCCAAGCAGAGTTAAGGAGGCTACGTGCCTTGAATCGCGAATGAGGTGTCCGTGGATGGATTAAGCTCTCGCAAAAGGGACTTATGTAATCCCCGTGAAAAAGATACACGCGAAACCAATAAGAACGGTTTCGTCGTAGAGGCGTATAGCTTACGGATACCGGTTAATGGGCAGTAAACAATTTCCAAAGCTGTGTTCCCGCGTTTTTCGAGCTGCGCGCGCATGTCCCTGAATATGTCTCCGGGATTATTTTCGTCGTAGAAAATAGAGGTCGATCTCTATCAATTTACGACAGATTAAAATGTTCTTCTGTCTACGGAATAATCGTTAAAAAGTGTTTCTACCTCTAATTAACCTTGAGATGTGAAAGTTTTCGTCCTATAATTCGATAATTCTGTTTATATACGAAATTTCGTTTTCCCTCCAGCAATCACTTATCCGTTCGAAATAGGTCACTCTTTGAACATACTTTCTTGCACCGGAGGCATCATACTAGCTTGTACGACGTAAATAAACCCATTGAATTTCCATACTACCATTTTGCTCGGTTTATTCAGGCAGCATTAGGGATCGAGGGATGGTATTAGGAGCAATTACCCTAATGCACACTTGTACTCGGTGGCAAGTTCCACGTGCTAGAGCCTTCTCGTACAGAAATTTAATGCTCCATCGTTCCGTCATTCGCAACTGAGATCGAGGAACGCGCAGGCCTCTCTGGATCCGTCGCGTTTCTCCAGTCGTTTAGTCAGCCATTACGCGGATCACCGATCACCATTCTTCTACATACATATATGTATACACACCACTTGGAACGTACTGTAATTCTAGTCACGGACGAGGCTCGATAAACACCGACTCATAATTCCGTCTTATTAACAAGCGAACTCATTAATTCGTTTACAACTCGTTTTACGAACTTCGGTATCTCCCTTCTTATTCTTATTCTTCTTCTCGCGAGCTGCCTACGCTTGTAATTGCACCTGCTCCCATCTTTGCCTCATTCGTCAACTTCGGCAAACCGCAGCTGTTCCCTTATTTTTTTTCCCCTCTTAATCTCGCGTTAATACCGCGTTACGCTTATTAACAATACCATAATAGCCGACGATAATTTCCAACGGACTTTCGAATTTTATTATCAGCGTTGTCGGCCATATTTGGCTGACACTTGGGCTATCTATAATGGCGTCGTTATTAAAAAAAAAAAAAAGAAACGGACGACAGTTTCGTACTTGCAACGAGAGGTATATGCACAACAGAAATTTTATTAATTACAGCAGCGTAGAGTTTCACGTAACAGGTAACGGAATAATCGCGAGATCTTTATGGTGTACTTACACACTGTATCACAAGGTGTACGGTATTATAATTTATCGAAACGTCTTCTCGGTCGGTATTTAATGCCTCGCGATAGGCCAGCTGTGTTTTTCATTTCACCGATCCAATTGTTCGCCACCGTTCGCCGGTTTCGACCAAACAGCCTTGCGTAACGCACGATTTCCACGGTGTTTTACAATAATTGGCCGATTATCCGAGAAACTATACCTACAGTCGGCCGTTGTAGGTGGAGCCACGCGGAAACAGATCGTTACGATAATCGATTTCGAAATTACTCGCGCGCTCCTTCGATTCTCCGGCGGCACGTGAGAAATAAAAAGTGAAGAAAACCACGGTTTATTGTTCCGTTATCCTTTATCGAGCGCTTGT